CAAGGGGGGGGGGGTGAAGGAAAGGAAGAGGCTTGATAGATAAGCAAAAGCCAGATTACGGAAGGTTTTACAAGATTTAGATTATCTCAAAGGACATCACTATGATTTAAAGAGCAAGGAGGACAAAAATATTTACATCTTAGAAAGCCCATTGGAGGGTTGGAGAGATGGCTCAGCAGTTAAGAGCTGCTCTTGTAGAGGACCTGGGTTTGATTCCCAGCACCCACATGGTGGCTAACAACCAGCTGCAACTCCAGTTCCAGGGGGATCCGATGCCCTCTTCTGTTCTCCTCGGGCACTGCAGGACACAGGTGCACCTCAACAAAACACTTGGAAACGGAATTCAAGAACACATCAAGATTATATATTATAAAAAAGTAGGTTTCGCCAGGCGTGGTGGCGCACGCCTTTAATCCCAGCACTCAGGAGGCAGAGGCAGGCGGATCTTTGTGAGTTCTAGGCCAGCCTGGTCTACATAGTGAGTTCCAGACAGCTGGGGCTACAGGAAGACCCTGTCTCAAAAAGACAAGACAAAAAAAAAAAAAAGATTTCATCACAGGGATGCAAGGTTGGTTCAATATACACAACCACTGCAATCATGAACTCACAAAATCAGTTACCTGCACACAAGACCTGCCCTGTCAATAATCATTTGTGAAAGGGGGAGGGACTCATGGGGCCACACCTCTTACTGCTAAACTGTTGGCTAGTGACAGTTTCTGGGAAAGGGGAAATTACTGTCTCCAGTTGTGTACCCACTGCTGAGCCCACCAGGTTCTAAGGCATAGCTCTAAACCCACAGTCACTCGGAGAGTCCTGGGTAATCTCAGTTGGTCATGAAACAAAATAGACAAGAATAAGGGAAAGTTATAGGGAAGGGGCATAGGTAGATAGGGGTAGGAGGGAGATATATTTATGTACATGTGTGAAATTGTCAAATGAAAAATTTAATAAAAAACTAAAAAATGAAAATTGAAAAAAGAATTTCTCATATAATGTAAAATATTTATTTTAATATAATCTTTTTATTAATTGAGAACTTCATCATGCATACAATCTATTTTGATTATAGTCACCCTTTATTCCTCCATCTGCCTCTGTCACCTTTCATAAATCCATCAAGTCCAATTAGTGCTGTCATATGCTCATGGACCCAGGGTCATCCACTGGAACCCAGTTGCCCTCAGGGGCCACACCCTTAAAGAAATCATCAACTGTCAATAGTGCCTCACCTGGGCTTGGTTGCTCATGAGCCCCTCCCCTTTCCATGATGGACTGTGGTTGTTTCCATGATGGACTGTGTGTGTGTGTGTGTGTAAGGGAGGGGGTAGAGTTGTGTATATGAATGCTGGTACATGCAGAGGATAAAGGTATTGGATCTCCCTGGAGCTGGAGTTGCAGGTCGCTGTGCGTTGCCTGACTTGAGTGCTGGGAATCAAACTTACGTACTCTGCAATAGCAGTGAGCACTCACTCTTTTGTGGTTGTTTTTGCTTTTTTGAGAAAGGGTCTCCTGGTAGCCACAGCTGGCCTGGAATTTACTATGTATACCAGGCTGGCCTCCAGTTTACAGAAATCTACCTGCCTCTGCCTCTTGAATGCTAGGATTAAAGGTCTGTACAAAGTCACCCTGCTAGCAGTAAGCACTCCTCCCCCAGGCTGGAATGTTGACCGACTAGATCTTGTGCAGACAACACAGTTACTGTGGAAGTGTGTGTGTGCGTGTGTGTGTGTGTGTGTGTGTGTGTATGTACGCATGCGCGCACGTGAGTGCAAGTGCCTGTGGAGGCCAGAGGCGTTGAAGGCCTGGAGCTGGAGTTACAGGCAGATGTGAGTCACCTGATGTGGGTACCAGTAACTAAACTTTTAGGTCCTCTGTAAGAACAGTACGTACTCTATGTACTCTTAACTGCTGAGCCATCCCTCTAGCCCCCTCCTCCAACCCCATATAAACAATCATAAGGATAGAAGCCAAAGATCATCTCTATAGATACAGAAAAGGCATTTGACAAAGCTTAACATGACTCCATGACGAAAATCCTGGAAAAATTATGAACAGATGGCATATACCTCAAAACAATAATGGTTATAAATGACAAGCCTATGGCCAACATTATAATAAATGAAGAAAACTGAAAACATTTCCTCTAAAATCTGGAACAGGACAGGAGAATCCACTATTTCTCCACACTTATCCAATACTGTGTGAAATTTTTTCCCTATATGCAGACATGAATCCATACTTAAAAAATCCTATGGATTCTACCAGAAAACCCTTAAGACTTAATGAATGCCTTTAATCCCAGCAGAGGCAGGTGGATCTCTCTGAGTTCAAGGTTAGTCTGGTCTAAGTAGCAAGGTCCAGGACAGTCAGGGCTACCAAAAACAAATACACCTAGAGAAAACCATAGAGAATACACTTGAAGTTATAGGTATAAGCAAGAACTCTTTGAGCAGGACTCAAATACACAGAAAATAGTCCCAAGAATCAGGTCAACTAAGTTCTAGGGGACTATGGAACATCTCTCAAAATGTCCTTTAACTGTGGTGAGTCACCTGTCCTCTTGTTCAGGGAGGACATGGAGACCCCACAAGATGGACCTGAACCAATGTCCAGTCTACAAAGAGGAGGGTCAACTGAGAGGAAACATCTCATTCCTGCTTCCAAGTGAAGCCAGACATGGTCAAGCAGGACCTTTGACTCATGTTCACATAGATGGAACTGGTAAAAGAAAGGAGCCAGGAGCTCCTCCCAAGCCCATGTGACCCCTGAGGAACAGATCCTCAAATGACCTTATGTGTAAAAATAAATTGATTTATTTGAGCCAACTGTATGGTCTTAAACACCAAAAGGGAAAGTATAACCAAAGAGTAAAGTCATCGGTATATTTCTTTAAGATTTCAAGGGATTACACTTCCCAGGCATTAGGCTTAAGTCTATATAAAAAGTTATTCAGACAATTATTTCTCATCGATGATTTTGTTCCTAACCAGAAAAATGCTGCTCAGATTAAGACTTCAAATCTTGGTCTCCAATACTGTAGTGCCCACCTGTAGCTAAGGGACACAACCAGCTATTGTTCTAAGATGATGGATAAATTTGTTTTCTCCCCCCTATCTAGAAGCCTTTGAGAGGCAACTGACACTGATTCTAAATACTAAAAATACCTGAAAGCAAATCCTGAATCCATCACTCTAGAGTCCAGCCTTGGAAGACAAAAGAAAAATGAGGAGGAACCCAAGAGAGGGATGCTTTTGGAAGCCCTTGTCAAGACATTCCAATGGACTCTCATATGAACATTTGAAAATTGCCCTGTTCTGACTTTTTTCTAGTTCCCTGTCTAGAACTTGTAATGCTAATTACTCTTGCCTTTACTTCTCCTTCACATCTCCTATTCACCAGTCAAGGACTTTCTTTTCCCCCTAGAGATAACAGTTATGCAATCTGGGAGTTTTAGATAGACCCACTGAAGAGGTACTCCAATTGCCTCACCCTGTGTCCCTGTTCAGCATGGAAGAAGCCAGAGTGGTCTGTGTTCCGATTCCCTATTGGCAATTTGGGTAACCCCTTCAAAGGATAGTGTGATAACAATAGGAGGCAGGAACTGGCTAGGCAGTTAGGGTAAAAAGACCCCAAAAAATGTAGTCAGTTTCTTGGCTAAAAGTCAAAATGTCCTTGGGCCTGTTAGCAATATACTCTGTTCCAAAGGCCAAAAAATGTCAAAAGTATTTGGGATCT